AAAAGTGGTAGGCAGTAAATAAAGTTCTGGATTTAGGAATCAGGAGGGAATCTGGAATCTTGCTTTCACTCTTGCCTCTGATACTTATTAGCTATGTCACCATGGACAAGTTACTGAGGAAGTTAAATGTCCCGGTAGATAGAATGCCAGACCCAGAAGAGTTGAGTTCAAACCATGCCTTAGACACTTACTAACTGTATGACCCTGGGCAAATAACTTAATTAACCTGTGTACCTCAGTTTCATCATCTGCAAAATGGGGATAATATTAGCACCCACTAGGGAGGTTGTGGAGATAAAAGAGATAGTTATAAAGCGCTTTACAAACTAAAGTGCTCTTTAAATGGTAGCTAGTATTATTTTAAAATTATCTTGGCTAATATGACAGAGAAGGAGAATGACAAATGTTGGAGAGGATGTGAGAAAATTAGGGACACTAATACACTGTTGGTGGAGTTGTGAACCGATCCAACCATTCTGAGAAACAATGTGGAACTAGGCCCAAAGGGCAATCAAACTGTGTATACGTACCCTTTGGTCCAGCAATACCACTACTTAGGATCACAGACTGAGAACAATAACCTTAGACAGTCTCTAGTTCAGTGGTATTAAATAAAAACTGGGACCATTAATCTGTACATGAAGCTCCAGAGTATGTAGTATATCCTAAAGAGATCATAAAAAGGGAAAAGACCCATGTGTACAAAAATATTTATAGCGGCTCTTTTTGTAGTGGCAAAGCATTGGAAATTGAGGGGATGTCCCTCAATTGGGGAATGGCCGAACAAGTTGGGTATATGAATGTAATGGAATACTATTGTACTATGAGAATGATGAGCAGGTGGATGTCAGAAAAACCTGGAAAGACATGTATGAGCTGAAGTGAGCAGAACCAAGAGAACATTGTATACAGTAATGGCAACATTGTGCAATGATCAGCTATGACTAACTTAGCTCTTTTCAGCAATTCAATGATCCAAGACAACGCCAAAAGACTCATGATGGAAAATGCTATACACATTCAGGTGACATTTGAATGCAGATCAAAGCATACTATTTTAACGTTTTTTTCATATTTCTGCCCCCCAACCCCCTTTTGATCTGTTTCTTCTTTCACAACATGACTAATATGGAAATATGTTTTACATGCATAACCCCTACCAAATAGCTTACTATTTTAGAGAGGGAGAAAATTTGGAACTCAGATTTTTTAAATGAATGTTAAAAAATTGTCTTTACATGTAATTGGAAAAAATAAAATACTATTAAGTTAGATTGGAAAAAAATTATCTAAGCCTCACTATCCTCATTTGTAAAATGAGGCTTAAAAATATCCATAATGTCTGCTTCTCTGTGGTGAGGATCAGAGGACATCAAGTATATAATTGTCAGCTAAATATTTATTAAATGAACAAGGGCAGCTAGGTAGCCCAAGCATGACTTAGGAGTCAGAAAGACCCGAGTTCAAATCCTGCCTATCACTTAGTGTGCCCTAAGCACATCACTTCAATTTATCTCTCCCTTGGTTTCCTCATCTGTAAAATGGGCATAATATAGAACCTACCTTACAGGCTTGTTGTGAGGATCAAATGAGTAAACACACGTGAAGAGATTTGCAAACCTTAAGAGTTACATAAATGATAACTATAATAAATTAAACAGTACTTAAGATCATAGACTCAGAACAATAACCTTACACAGTCTCTAGTGGTATTAAATAAAAACTGGGGCCACTAATCTGTACATAAGGATCCAGAGTAGGTAGTATATTGCATTGAGTTATAAAATGTATGGGCACCTAGGTGGAGCAGTGAATAGAGGGCTGGCTCTGAAGTGAGGGGGACCTCAGTTCAAATCCAGCCTAAGGCATTTATTAGATGTGTCACCCTGGGCAAGTCATTTAATCCTGTTTGCCTCTGTTTCATCATATGTAAAATGGACTGGAGAAGGAAATGGCAAACCACTCCAAGTATCTCTACCAAGAAAACCCCAGCAGCTAGGTAGCACAGTGGATAGATCTTCTAGCCTTGGAGTCAGCTGGACCTGAGTTCAAATCTGGCCTCAGACACTTAACACTTACTAACTGTGTCACCCTGATTGCCTCACATACCAAAAAAAAAAAACCAAAAAACAAAATGATTAAGAAGAGTCTGAAACAAGTAAATGTTTTAAAATATAATGTTTTCTATGCTTTATTGTATTTTTTACTTATTTTGTTGAGTGTTTTCCACTTACGTTTTAATCTGGTTGGGCAGCATTTGGCAATGCTGCTGGCAGCCTAAGGTGTGTTTGACATCTCTGGTCTAGTAATCTAGTCCCTTCATTTTACACATGAAGAAACTGAGCCCATTAAACATTAAAAAATGACTTGCCCAGGGACACATAGGTAGCGATGGAGGAGTCTGGCATTGAACTCACATCCTTCTGACTCCAAATCCAGTGATCTTTCCACTGCTTAATGTGAAACAAAGAAGCAGCTGATGGAGAAGCCAAATCAGCATGATAAATTTAAGCAACCTCAAGAGTCAAATAGGCAGCATGGCACAATGGACAGAGAGTTGGCCTCAGGATTAGGAAGACCTGGGTTCACAATCTACCTCTGGCACCTACTGATTATGTGACTAGGGGCAAGACATTTAACTTCTTAGGCAGTTTAACCTCCCAGGCAATTCCCTGAGACTATAAATTGCAGAGAAGACAGAATGTTGCCCTACCCCTAAAAATGAGAAAATCCCCACACTTGATTCAAATCTAGCATTAGATCCTAGGTGTGTGACCTTGGGCAAGTTACTTAACCTGTGTTTGCCTCTGTTTTCTCAAATGTAAAAAGGAGATAATAGCCCTCTCAGGGTTGTGGTGAGGATCAAAGAAGTAATATTCGTAAAGTGATTAGTGCAGGGTGAGGCACATAATAAGTGCTATATAAATCCTAGCTTTTACATGATGAAATCACAGGTCCAGCTTCCCCCCCTTCCCAACATCATCTTTTACTTTCCTTGGGCCGCTGTGATATGGTCACAGTGAGTCATATTTAGTCTTATTTTTCCCTAGGAGCAATCTCAGATTTCTAGGAAGGGGAAGGAGAAACGATAGATTAATATAGAATATATATCAATTAATATATCAATAAATATATTAATCAATATATAAATATAATATCTATTAATATATTATATATAATAGAGAAATGTCACTGCCAGAAGGCAGATCAGCTAGCCCCAGATGTTATACTGGAGACATTCCCTCTGCCCAGTCTCCACTCCCTAGACCTTTGCCTTTAATATGGTTGAAACAAATGTGTCCCAGAAAGAAAAGATATTCATTCTGTGAATGACTTGGTTTTTCCAGAAGGGGGTGGGTACAGCAAGCATCAAAGGTGAAGAGGGGCAGGTGGGTGGGGTGGGGCTGGTTGCTGATAAACAAAACTCATTTTTTGTGTTTTATTTCCCAGACTTTCCAGAGGACTGAGTGCTGGCAGACAGAGCTCATCCTGAGTAGCTGAGGCATAGCACCACAAAAACCAGCAATATCTCCTCCCAATTCCTTCATTTGGAAATCTTTGGAATTAGAATTAGAGGATAGAAAACTGGAAGGGGCTTTTAAAATCTTCTAGTCTTACTGCCTCATTTTACACAATAAAAAACTGAGCCCAATGATGAGGGGAAGTGATTTACCCAAGGTCATAGCAAGTAGCAGGTCTGGGATTCAAATCTAGAAGCTGTAATAGCCTCTAGTTTGGGAAGCAAATTCCTAAGTGTTAAACTTATCAGTCATTCATACCTTAGTGCCAATCGCTCCAAATTTTTCCAAGTTTATCCTTTGGGAGTTTTCTATAAGAAGGAGAATAAAAAAAAAGAGAGGGGAGAAAGAAAAATATTTGTTTCCATCTTTGTTATGAGTACTAGAGAATTCTCCTACTTTCAAGACTTTTAGGATCTCTTCCTTAAGCAGGCAGAGAGTCTAATTAAAAGAAGCATTCATTTTTCCCATGAGTGTTCTTGCTTGATTTTAGAAGTTTGGGTAGTAGTTTTCTCTCTCATTTTATTCCCTTCATTTTTCTTTGCAATATTTGTCCCCCTCCCCTGGGTTATTGTGAGAATGAAATGAGAAACTACAGTGAAAGATATTTTGAAAGTATAAAACATTACACAAAATGGAGCTTTAGTAATAGTAGCAATCTTCTTGGGAGTGATTTTTATCCATCATTCAAGAGTGGTTAATCTTCCTCTCTAGCCTTTACCAGACAGAACAGATGATCCCTAAAGACTCTTCCTATTCTAAAAGCCTAAGATTATTTTTGTTCTGTCCCTTTAACCTTCCTAACAGCCCTTTGATCACTCCTTCCTCTGAAAATTTAAGTGATGCAGCCCATGTGGATCTGTGTTGGGGTGAATATGTCTGAGGATCCAGAGAAGTTGCCCTATTAGGGACCTGAACTGGAGCCAAAGTCTATGTGAGGCTCTTGAGCAGTGGTTGATTAAGTACCGGTGGGCTGAATGGTAATTACAAGCTGTTAACTTAAAACACGGGCAGGTGAGTATTTATAAATAGTGTGTGCTAGGCTTCCTGCTCACTTATTTCTCTGCAAGAATGGACTTCATCCTAAGCTTTTGCTAGTGGAATTAAAAAAAAATACATCCAGGAAATGAAATCCATGTTTGGCTAGCATGTGAAACATAGGGGTAAGGGGACAATAAGTGGAGGACCTAGAAAGTGGGACTGGATTGGTTTTAATATCTCACAGCCTCTAAGAGGTTTTCTTTATTCCAAATACAAGTGAGTCCTGTAAGCACAAGCTGAGGGTTACAGATGGGTGGTACTTGAGATATATCAATGGTATACCAATTGGTAGGTAATAGTTAAGGTGTGTCAACTGGAGTACCAATGGTGTATCTTGACTTTTGTATTGGATAGAGGGAAACTTGTAACTGAGGACCACATTTCTCCCATTCTCTCTTTGCTGCAGACTACTGACAGTACTTTGAAGCCCTTTTGGTTGAGATGGAAGGAAGTAAGAACAAGGATGACCTGGTGCTGAAATGGAATGTCTCCTTCCCTTGTGAAAAAGTTTCTGGGAATCTAGGAGGAAAGGAGGAAGGAAAAAACAGTAAGAAATTGCAAGAAGCATCCCAGAGCTCCACTCCATATTCTTCTCCAACTTCCTATTGGCCTACATCCTCATTTCGGACCCCAGAGAAGATGATTGAGCCTCAGTCCCCATTGACTAGTGTGGCTCCTGAGGGGATGCCACTGTGGATCTGCAGTCAAGCTACACCCCCTCACAGCAATTCCAGAGATAGTCCTGACCAGACAGCAGACGTCTCCTTGCTACAGAGTCCTTTGTCACGACCTTTAAATGACATTTCTAGGATCCCAGAAATATCCTGGAAAAAGCTGCAACTTTGTGATTCGCCGTGTACCCCCAAGGTAAGCATGTTAGAGAGGGGATAGCTAAAGCCTGTCTGTCTCAAATATTTCCGTTTTTGGAGACACAATGTGTTTTTTCATTTTCTGAGGGGAAAAAAAGGTGTAATCATTTTTATATTTCCACTCAGTGTTCTATTTGTGAGTGTTAACAAACTTTAAGCATGCTAACCTTTTCTTGAGACGATCAGTCAGTCAAAAACATTTGTTGTTGAACCATTTCAGTTGTATCTGATTCTCCCTGATGACAGGTACTGGAGTGGTTTGCCATTTCCTTTTCCAGTTCATTTTACAGATGAGGAATTGAGACAAACTGGGTTAAGTGACTTGCCCAGAGTCTCACTGCTAGTAAGTGTCTGAGGTTGGATTTGAACTCATCTTCCTGACTCTAGGCGCTGCATTCATTCACTGCACAACCTAGCTGCCCCTCAATAAACATTTATTAAGAGCTTAACTGTGCTAATCACTGGGGAATATAAAGAAAGGCAAAAGACAGCCCCTACTCTCCAGGAGCTAACAGAGGAGACAAAGCAAACAACTCTGAGCAAACAATTATGTGCAAACTAGCGATATACAGGAGGATAAATTGGAAATAATCAATAAAGGGAAGGCAGACCATGAATGAAGATAGGCAAGACTTGAGATGAAATTTGTATCACATTTTATCTTCATTATGGAACCCTTCTAGTATGTCTTTTTTTTTTGGGGTAAGGCAGTTGGGGTTCAGTGACTTGCCCAAGGTCACACAGCTAGTACGTGACAAGTGTTTGGTCTGAGGCTGGATTTGAACTTGGGTCCTCCTGACTTCAGGGCCGGTGCTCTATCCACTGCGCCACCTAACTGCCCCTAGCATGTCCTTTTTTTTTTTTTAAATAGATTTTTATTGATATCTTTCTTTTCATAGTACCTACATTTCCTTCTGTTCTCCTGCTCCTATAGAGAGCTATTCCTTAAAACAAACAAACAAAAAACCTTTAAAAAAGAGGAGTGGGGACATGGTGGGGGAAATTAAACTAAATTAACCAATATAGTTTTTTAAAAAGTCTAACTTTATTGCAATGGTCCATATTTGTGGACCCAACTTCTGCAGTGGAAAGGGAGGGTTGCTTTCTTATGCCTCTGTTTTTGAGGCAAAGCTTGACCATTATGTTTCTGAAATATTCAGTTTAGACTTTAATTGTTCTTTCCATTTACATTGTTTTCATTTTTATATGTATAATTTTCCTAGTTTTGTTTAGTTCATTTTGCATCAGTTCCTGTAAGTCTTTCCAGACTTCTCTGTACTTGTTATGTTTACCTTTTCTTATAATACAGTAATAGTTTGTTTGTACAATTTATTCAGCCATTTTCCAGCTGATTGGCATCTACCTTACTTCCAGTTCTTTGCTACCATAAAAAGTACTGCTATAAATATTTTGGTATTTTTAAAGGAACTTTTTTTTTGTCCATGACTTTCTTTGGGTACATGCCTAAAAGTGAAATCTCAAGGTCAAGGGATTAGTCACTTTATCTAATAATGAAACTAGCACCCTTGTTTACTGAGATCAGCAAATGATCATCAATTAGAAGGTATAAAGGAGTCTGAGCCCTGCCATGCATTTAATACATACTTTTCCAACCCTTTGGCCATTTGGGCCTTCCAAGACATTTTTCAGATCATATAAATAATAGCAATGCCCTACTGAAAAGTATGTGTTAAATGTATGGGAGGGCTCATACTCCTTTATCCCTTCTAATTGATGATCAATTGCTGATCTCAGTACACCAGGATGGAGTTGGTTTTTTGTTGTTGTTTTTTTTTGTTTTTTTCCTCACCCTTCTAGGGTGCTTGTTTCATTATTTGTTTTTGGCATTTTTTTTTTAATCACATAAGCACTTCCTTCATTCTTAAGAGCCTTCAAGACTTGGTTCTCTGCCATTTGTATTATCTTCTTTGGTTGGCCTTTTGTTCTGCCTTCCCAGCTATGGTGGATAGAGCAGTGGGCCTGGAGTCAGGGAGACCAAAGTTCAAATGGGACCACAGCACTTAACTAACTATGTAACCCTGGGCAAATACTTCTTTTCCTCGGCTGTAAAATGAGGAGAATAGCATCTACCTCGAAGGGTTGTTTGGAGCATCAAATTAGTTAATATTTGTAAAAAAGTGCTTACCACAGTGCCTGGCACCTAGTAGGTGCTTATATAAACCCTTATTCCTAGCTGTGTGACTCTGGGCAAGTCACTGTACCCTGTTTGCTCAATTCTTCATCTGTGAAATGAATTGGAGAAGGAAATAGCAAACCACTCCAGTATCTCTGCCAAGAAAAACCCCAAATGGGTTCATGAAAAGTCAGACATGACTGGAAAAACAACTAAACAACCACCACCCTTGCCTTCCCCTTGTGATATCTGACATCAATAAATTACTTTTTGGAAGTTCACCACTTGAAGGCTAGTTGTATGGATCCCATATTTTTTACATCTGTCATTTGCCAACATAGCTTCCTTCCCCCTATTCACACCATTGAATTATTCCTGATAGCAGTTAAGCAAAATTAGCCTTCTTGACTCTATAGAGTAAGAGCAGAGAGAGAATGTATAAACTATTCCTACTGTACATAAACTGAAAATGCTGTTGGTGTTCAATGATTTGACTGACCCGGAATAAGGGTTTAAAATTACCTGCAAAGAGATGAAACTCAATAGCCTATTAGCTGTTTCCATCACATAATAAAATCTAAGGGAACTAACTTTAATGAATGCTTATATCTCTCACAAATGAAATGGGTATGGGAAAGAGATGTCATGGAAGAAATTCTTAGTACTTCTAGAGTTGAAAAGGATCTTAGATCAACTAGTTCAGGAGTTCTTAACCTTTTTTTTATGGACCTCACTGGCCATCTGGTGAAGCCTTTGGATCCCCTTTTCAGAATAACATTTTTAAATGCACAGAATACATGGGACTACAAAAGAAACGATTATATTGAAATAGTTATCAAAATACTTTAAAAATGCATGGACCCCAGATTAAGAACTCCTAATTTAGTCTAAAACTCTCACTGCACAGAATTGGAGACTGGATGGAAGGTGGCCAACTAGTAAAAGTGGCAGAACCAGAATTCAAACTCTTATTTTGATTCTCTAAAATCCAAAGCTCTTTACAAATCACCATGTTTTGGTCAGGAAAATTTGTTTTTATTGTACTATGTGCTCAATGTTTGTGAACTGATACCAAAATGTATTTTTAGACATTTTGGTTTTTGTATGGTATTTAGTAAATTTTATAGTACTTTCCCATTGTTTCATTTGATCTTTCACAACAATCTTTTGAGGTAAATGTTGTTCATTCTCAACCGACTCTTCTTGACCCCACGGACCACACTGTCCATGGGATTTTCTTCGCAAAGATACTGGAGTAGTTTGCTATTTCCTCCTCCAGTAGCAAACAGAGGTTAACTGGCTTGCCCAAGGTCACACAGCTAGGATGTTTCTAAAGCTGGTTTGGAACTTGTGTCTTCCTGATTCCAAGGCCAATGTTCTGTTCGAGTTGCCTCTTGAGGTTAAATAGTAGTTCTACTTATGGGTCTGGACCACCTTCTTCTTTCCAGTGAGGAAATTTCCTCTTTTGTTGTTGTTGTTCAACTGCATTTTTTTCTTTTTGGAGGCAATTCTGGTTAAGTGACTTATCCAGGGTCACATAGCTAGTGAGTGTCCGAGGCCAGATTTGAACTCGGGAAGAGGATTCTTCCTGATTCCAGGCCCAGTACTCTATTCACTGCACCAACTGGCTGCCTAGACCTCTTAGTATGCCATGGATTAAATTACAGGGTAAAGTGACTAGACCTATGATTTTACTGGTATGAGGGCTTCTCTCTGTCAATGCAGATCTGTACCTTCTCTGTAAATTAGTGTGTTTAAAAAAAATTAATTTTATCTTTTCAGTTAACCAGAATCTATTTTATCATCCCCTCCACCGAAAAAGATAAAACAAAACCCTTGTAACAATAATGCATAGTTGAGTAAAACAAATTCTCAAATTGGCCATGTCAAAAAAAAAAAATTCTGTAGCATGAGCTCATCCCTCTGTCAGTAAGTGGGTAGCATGTTTTATCGATGAATCTTAGTTGGTGATTGTGTTAATCAGAATTCTTGAGGCTTTCAAAGCTTTTTCTGTAGAATGTTGTTGCTATGTAAATGTTCTCTTGGTTTGACATCATTCTATAGCATTTCATGCAAGTCTTTTCATGTTTCCCCTCTTCATCATTTCTTACAGCATATTCATAGATGATAACTTGCTCAGCCAGTCCCCAAATGATGATTTTGTTCTTAGTTTCTTGTTCTTTGCCACCACAAAAGAGCTGCCACAAACATTTTTGAACATATGGTTTGTCTTCTTCTTCCTTTGGGTCTTTTTTATTTGGATATACACCTAGTAGTGGTGTTGCTCTGTTAAAGGCTATGCACAGTTTAATAACTTCTTTCCAAAACGACTGCGATGTTTCAAAGCTCTACTAAGAGTGCATTACTATACCTGTTTTCCAGTAGCACCTCCAGCATTTGTCATGTTCATTCTTTCTTTTTTTGAATCAACTTTACTGATCTGAGAATGAGGTAGAATCTCAGAGCTGCTTGAATTGCATTTCTCTAATTATTAGTAATTCAGTACTAAGTATTGGGAATACAAAAAAAGGCAGGTGGGAGAAAATCAACAACAAAAAGTTCATTCTTTCTAAGAGTTTATATTCCAAAGGGGAAGACAGCATGAAACTATCTAAGTACATAGAACATACACAGGGCATATGAAGGTGCTCTCTGCTAGTAAGCAGAGGAGGGGTTAGAGAACAACCTAAGAATGACCTCCTGCAGAAGGAGGTAATCTTAAAGTAAAAGTTGGGGGCAGGTATGGGGCAGAGCATCTGGGACATGCTAGACAAATAGGTATCAGAGATGGAACTTGAGGTCAGCTCTTACTGACTTTGAGGCTGGCTCTCTCTCCTCTAGGAAACATTTTCCTCACACAGTTCAGTGAGGATTCAGTTATACTTGGAGTTAAATCATGACCACTGGGTACTCTGTGAGAATTTCCTGTATATTAATGTCTATGTTTTTCAGTATCATCATGGAAAGTATAGAAGAAGGGTTTTAACCTTTTGCCAGGCACAGATGCCAAGTCATCGTGAGTTTTTACTATGAGATTTTTTTGTCCCCTTTGGCTTTTTCTGGGCCTGGTTAGCTTGGATACCTTTTATTCTGCTTCCTCCTGCCCCACTTTTCACAACACACAGACCTGTCTAATTTCTGGGAAGCCTTAGATTTGTGAAAAATCTTCTGCTGATTTGTATGATCTGAGAGAATTGTCACTTTTTTTTTTATAGGTGTTATTGTAACATAATGTTGAGGCCTGTATTAGATAATAAAGAGAATATGAGTATCTTAGGGTCAGAATTTCCAGCTCCTGTATGTCCTATGTGGTGGCCTTCATTTACCTGCTGTGGAACAATGACAGAGAGAGGTAGAACTGCTTTGATTAGAGAAGCAGTGAACAAGTGAAAAAGGCGGGGGAGATGAGAAGACAGCAAAGGAAAGTGGGGAGGGGGGGGAGACAGAGCCCAAGTGAGCAAGTGAAAGAGTATGAACTTGTGCTAACCTGGTAATTGGGAAGACATGCATTCAGGTCTTGCCTCTGCCTAACGAGTTAGTCACTTAACGGCTCAGTGCCCTCCCAGTGTCATCATGAGCTCCCTTTATCATTGAAATCATAGGTTTAAAAAAAAAAATTTAGTCCAGTCCCGTCATGCTTTTGAAATTTAATTTTGTTGTTGTTGTTCTTAAATCAGACTCTGCTAACAAGTAATATATGTTCTTCTGGAAAGCCATTTACAAGAAGTTCTAAGCACTCCCGATTTATACCTGCCATTAGCACATACCAGATACCTTCATCAGATCAGGTCAATGTGAACCCTTTCACCCCAGAATCCTACCGGAGGATGGTTTCTCAATCCAGCGGCAAGAGGAAAATAAGAGGAGAGCTGTGAGTGTCATCATACCTTTCTGTTTTTTCCTCTTTTAATTTGCTTTATGTGCATTTATAGTCTCTCCCTCTCACTGTCTCCTCTCCCTCCACTGAACAATTGAAAAATCAAAAAATGGAAGGGAAAAAAAAAAAGAATAACATATGCATAGTCCAGCAAAACAAATTCCTACATTGGTTATGCCTAAAAATGTATGTCTTTCTGTATTAAAGGTCATCACCTCTCTGAGAGGAGAAGCATGTTTTAACTTTAGTCATTTTAAATTTGTGGGTTGTGTCATTGCCTTGAACAAAGTTGGTTTTCTCTAATGTCTTCAATGTCCAAGTTGTTCTGCTCACTTCACTCTTATCCCTTCATAGAGGTCTTCTCAGTTTCCTATGTAACAGTCTATTTCATAACTTGTTATGACATAATATTCAATTAAATTAATTTATAAACATTTGTATAGCCATGTCCCAATAAAGAAGATACTCCCTAAATTGCCATGGCTACATATAAAAAAAACTGCTAAAAACATTTTTGTATTTTTTTATTTTAAGAATAATTAACTATCCTGACTTTTGAGGGAGAGTGAAGAATTTTCGAGAAGTAAAATTGAGATTTGAACTTTAATCAAATTAAAATTTTCTGTATGTGTTCCTGTTAACATATGAAACCTTGATAATTTTGGCTAAAACCCATTGCCTTTGCAGTGGAAGCTCAGAGGTATTTGATATTTAACAAAGATGTGATAATCCTTGTGTCTGTTTTGCATGTATATATTTGTTATGTGTGTACTTGCACATGTGATATGCTTCCCTGACAGCTTGTAAACTCCTTTACGACATCATAGGTGGTTGCATTTTTTTATATTCCCACTACCTGAAACATAGTTGCTTTACAAATGCTTGTTGACTGAATTTTTTTTTTTTAAGGTGAATGGTTGCTGAAATTGGACCCTCTTCTAATCGCAGTCTAGTATTGGGGGTAGGCATATAGTACCTTATGTTCACAATGTGAGCATGTTGGCTTGAGTCTAGTTTGTATTCAGTCTATGGGGGCTGTAGGGTAAAGGTTTGAGATATCCGTAGATAGTTGGGAGGCATGTGGGCGCTAGATAGCTGAACAGCTAAATTGAATTGCCCTGCAAAATAGTTTGGGAAGTAAAAATTTCTTGACCTGCTGTGTGTTTCAGGACAGCTTCACTGTTTTAAAAGTGTTTTTTTTTCCCCCCTAAAATTCAGGGAAAGGAAGCCTACTGACAGAAGGAATCTATTGTATTAAGAGATACTCCTTATGCTACTGTTGAAAGTTGGGTTTTATTTCCTTTGTGGCTAAATCTTTGGTGTTTACCAGTGTAGATTCCCAGGATGATATCACCAGAATAGAACTTTTGCTCAAGTTACGTTATTAGCCAGCTTCTGGTGCCAGTTATTGTAGTGGTAGCTTCTCTTTGAAATTTAGCCCTTGTCTAGATGTATACCACTTAGAAGCCGGAAATGATACTTAATGTAAACTTATGACGGTCAAGGTGGTGAATTTTATGGCCAGTGTTAATATATGGACCTTGAAAAGGAGATTAGCTTCAACTAAACAAACATACCCACCCTAGATTTTGCTCAAATGTGAACATGCTTGCAAATTTCGCTCACAAATGATCAAGTAAAGGTATTGATATTTGGGTGAATCCTGTTTTCTGGTTGTCTTGTTTTCCTTAACATCCCCTTCCTAGGTAGTAAAAATCAACAGTCAGAAGCTTTGGTCTGAAATTGTCTGAAGGAAAATTAGGGTGGGCAGGTTTACTTACATTGGTGCTGAAATTTAGAAGGAATTGACATTCATAGTCCTTCAGCTTTGTGAAAACGCAAGAGAACATAGCATTTAACAAGAACCACTAGTTAAATAGGTAATTACCAATTGGCAGCAAGTCCTAAGGCTGTTAGCTCTAGAAACATTTCTTGGTTTTTTGTTTGTTTGTTTTTCTGATCAAGAAAGCAGACTTTTATTGCTGTTGAACCTGGTATCATCTTATGCTAAATTTGTCTTATAAGAAACTTTGTATATTTAACCCACGTTAAGCCTACTTATTTTAGACTCTGAGTTAAGAAGATACCTCAAAATGTCGTAGCCCAATTCTCCCCCAAATTGAGTCACTTCCAATAAGTGGTCATCCAGTCCTGTTACTATCACTATAGTGAGTTAGGGAGTGTACCTCATTGTTCTAGGGTCGTTGTCTTAGATTGAGTTCCCAGAAGGGAGCAATTACTCCTCACCTCAGGCTTCTAGGGATAACCCTGAGGAGTTGGGGTTGATTTCTAATATCACTTCTTCCAAGTTCCTATCTTGGGAGTGTGTTCCACATTAATAGTCAGTTTGGAGTTAATTAGCTTTTAGTTAGGGCTATTTAATAATGTAATATAATAACAGTTGGTACAAAACATGCCTAAGTGGCAAAGAGGTAACTCACAGCTTGTGGTTAAAGGGAAGTCCCTCTTTGTAGTCCTTATGAATTATACTTTAGATGAGCTCTATTGAGCTCAGAGAACAAGTACCCTAGTAGAGTCCGGAGTAGCGTGCCTGTCCTCCTGTCAGTCAATAAATATTTATTAAGTGCCTACTATGTGCCAGGCACCAAGTGAAGTGCTGGGGATACAAACACATGTAAAAACTAAGACAGTCCCTGCAATCTAATGGTGGAAGACAACACTTAAAAGGCAATGAGAGATGGGGTGGAAGGAAGGGGAGAGGAGAAGGTGCTCGGCACAAAGAGCATGTTAGAGAAATCAAAAGAAATCCAAAAGCAACATAGCTGATGGTAAATGGGGAGAAGACTGTACTGAGATTTCCCCTTAAATAGAAGTGCTGGAGCCCATAATCTCACCCTCCAGTCAGAGGGCCCAATCAAAGGGACTGAAAGTACTGATGAAATGAGAGTACCAGGCAGATCCAGCCTTGCAGAATAATGAGATTTCCCAAATACAAGTTTACTGTGGAAGAAAGATGTGAGGAGAGGTTCAAAGGAATCCAAAAGCAGTGTAGCTAGTAGTAAATGGGACTAGAGTATCTACTGTCACCATGATTGGGAAGACTAAATCTTGGGGACCTTTAAAAGGTCTTGAGCTTTCCCTTTGGTCAAGAGGGATGAGAGGCAAAGATAAACTCTTTCCCCTACCTCTTGGGGATCCTCTCTCAAGGGGCTTGGTTTGAGCTATTCCACCACCACCACTGGGCTGACTGGTTAGCAAAAGTCAGACTCCAATCTGGCTAGCAGTCAGAATGCTACCTCCCCACAGAGCATGACTGAAACCATCTACATGACTCTTCCTTCTTTATACCTTGATTCAATATAGGTGTCTAGGAATTGTTTACACTATTCATTCTGTAACTCCGTCAAAGAGTTTCTCACCTGATAAAGGTATTGAGGAGTAGTTACTTTCGCTATGGAACTGAGGGGTGTGGGACTGCTTTCTTATATGTATTTGTTTTGGGTTTTTGTTTTTGTTTTGTTTTCTAGAGAGGAATCTGACTTCTCTGAAGACAATGGAGTGCAAGGACTGCCTGCCAAGGTGAGTGAGGGTTTCCAGACCCTGGTGTCTTTACTCTGATGTGAGCATGAGTATTTCGTGAGATTTGCCATCTGTCAGTAACACCACACAGTGCCTAGATCTGTTTGGATTTTAATCCAGGGTCTTTTTGCTATTACGTTAACATCTATATCTTTGTAACCTAGGATTTCTTATACAGTTTAATTAGCTCAGGTATTTTTTTTTCCCCAAATCTAATGACTGCTACCCCTGTCTGACATTAGGGAGAGTTAAGCACTGATTGAGGTAAAGAATCAGAAGTTTAAAGCGGGAACACATACTCCAACTAGATAAATGTGGACAGGAGTTTGACTTAAAAAAACTATAGTTAGGGTCTAGGCTGCTAATGGAGTCCATGAATGGTTTCTAAATAGAGTAGGAACTAGAAAAGGCCAATTCACAGAAATTGTATGTATTTCAAGACTCTTGAAAACAAAGAGAAAAGAGAGAGGGGGGAAAAAAGGTGATCTAGAGCTCAATTTAAAGTAGTTGGCTAGATTAGTTATGTAAATTTGACTTCCTAGAAATCTCACCAAATAAGCTGGTAACTTAAATTTTCCGCCCCTCTGTCTTCAACTTGAGGAGGCTTTAAAAATCAAACATCTAAGCATCAGAAGCGACTTTAGAGGCTGTTTAGTCCTACCCATACCTCCAATATGTCATCAGTTAGGCTTTTGAAGACTTATTCAGAGCGATCCTATTACATTCCAAGGATCCCAATTCCACTTTTGAATAACTCAGCATGAGGAAGTTTTGTTGAGTCATTTTTCAGTCATTTCTGACTTTTTGTGTCCCCATTTGAGATTTTCTTGGCAGAGATACTAGAGTGGTTTGCCATTTCCTTCTCCAGATCATTTTACAAATGAGGAAACTGAGGTAAACAGGATTAAGAAACTTGCCCAGGATCACATAGCTAGTAAGTGTCTGAGGCCAGATTTGATGTTGGGAAGATGAGTCTTCCTGATATCAAGTCTAGTTCTCTATCCACTGTGCCATCTAGCTGCCCAGATCTCACTGACTCCCAGGTCCAGTGCTTTGTCCACTCTGCCACTGGTCCTCCAAGTAGAGGAGGTAGGTAGCTGGTAGAGACAAGGCCGTAAATTCTATGTAGAACTTAAATTTCAAGTGAAATAATTGACTCCTACCATAGGTTTCTCATTTCCTATGTCTTTAAAAGCAAATACTTTCATAAAGTTTTAAGAAAATCATTCTTACCATCATATTTAGAACATTTGAAGGGTTGTACTCAGAGATAGGAAGAAGAACACTTGGGGAGGGCATGAGTAGTCTAGGCCCTAGAGCAAGTGACTTTGGAATAAGCTTGTATCTAGAAATGTATAGAAAGGAATATAACTAATAGATTTTGCAAAAGATGAGCCTGCAAGACTTGTTAATGACTGAAATTTTGAGAATTAAGGAGATACAAGTCAAAGTTAACTTTATTCTTGGAGATCTTACTTCTCAATTTCCTCTGCTGTACAAGTGGTATTACTGCCATCCCATTTCCCCAATACTATGTTATTAAAGCTCAATTTGGCTTCGGAAATTGTAAAAAACCAAATACAATTTTAGGAACCATTTGTGTATGGGCAGTTTAAACATTAGGGGTAGAGGAGTTCTTTAAAGGGATAATAGGGGGAGGAACAGGACACCTAGGATTAAGCTTGCAAGAACAAACATCTGTAGTGTTTGGGGTGAGAAGAAAAGAAAGTTGGGTGTAGGTAGAATATAGGGTTATTTAAAATGAAGGTAAAGAGCAAGTCACTGGTATCATTGGTGTCAAAGGTTAAGGAGGACGATCTCTTGGATTTGGTTAGAAGATTGCTGATGACCTTAGAACTCTTTAGGAAGGCAAGATGACTAAAATCCCTTTCTATGTCCTTCCTAGCACATTTCATTCCATCCTCCCTTCCCTCAATATTCTCAGAGATGTGTCATAAGAGAAAGCAACATGGTGTCCCGCTATGAAAAAGAATTCCTGGAGTTAGAAAAAATTGGGGTAGGAGCATTTGGCTCTGTCTACAAGTGCATCAAGAGGCTGGATGGATATATTTATGCTATTAAACGCTCAACGAGACGTTTGGGAGGATCCTCAAATGAGTAAGTTTAAATTTTATTGTTTTGACCTACAGGAATTCATCCAGAACTTTCAAGGTTTCCATCGCAATCTCTTAAGGTAGTAGTATTTCAATATGTCCTTAGGTACTAAATTGGAGCATAGCTTGAAGCTCCATACAAAATTTTCTTGCTTTTCCCCCAGTGTTCTTGTTATACCCATAACATTGGGGCAGCTAAGTGGTGCAGTGATAGAGCTCCAGACCTGGAGTCAGGGAAATCTGAGTTCAAAGCCAACTTCAGACACTCACTAGCTTTGTAACTTAACCACTGTCTGGCTCAGTTTCCTCACTGGTAAAATGGGGATAATAATATCATTTACCCCAGGGTTGTTAGTGAGAATCAAATGAGATATTTGTAAAGTGTTCAGCACAGTGCCTGGCACATGGTAAACACTATATAAATGTTAGTTATTGTTATTAGAAATTATTATTATGACATTCTTAAGACTTCAGGTTCAGAGGCAGGAGATGAAATCTTACAGAATAACTTGATGATGCTTTACAGTCAGAAGCATAATCTGTACACAGCTCTTGATGGTGGTTGTTGCTGAACTTTGTATAAATTAGCCCTCTGTATGTGTATCTTGCCTTGAAAGGACCCTTCTAGGAATATCCAGAGTCAGAAATTCTGCCAGTAAAACATTCCTATTGGCTTAAGGCAGTTTTATTTTAGCTTTAGTTTTTTTCTTTTAGCATCCAATATCCTGTTTAATGAATAAGAAAAATTAACAACTTTGCCTTCTATTTCTTGTCCTGAAACTGAACGATCAATGTGTAAGTTCTGCTTTGACTACAACATTGGGAAATGAAACTGCATTTAGCATCAGGTTGCTAGAGTCAGATAACATTCTTGTGTGAAGAGGTACAAAACATTAATTAGCCTTGAGTTTAAAAATACTGAAGTTGCCCATTCTTCTCATGGAAATTGGTCATATGAATTAGGTTAGCTATGACTTTTATAGCCCTGATAGGATGGAATAAGAAAATTGGTAATACAGAATTTAAAGATGTGGGTCCAAAATATAGTCTTGGTAGTCAAGCTGAAATTGACCAAGTATTGTACTCTCCTGTTCCATGTATTTCCCATTCCCCTCCCCCATTTTATATTGCTTATTCTTCCTTAAGGCTGACCCTATGTGTTATATACTCTTGGCTGGTTTATAGTTTTGTTGGTAGGGCAAAAGGCTAAAATCCAATTATCCACTGAACTCTAAAGAATTGTTCCAGGATGGGGGAAAGTATCTTTTTTAACCTGTTGAAGTATGATGAATTATTGTGACAGTTCAAATCTTCTCCTCTGCCCCCCACTCCACTTTGTAATGGGACTAGAAATAGAAGCATGCTTGTCTTTTTGGCAATAACCACTGAGAAACTTCTTCCTGAAGCCATAATTATTGGTATTTTCTATATGTGTAGAATGTGTATTTTCTATGTGTGAAGGTTTCCAAAACATCTTTGTACATGTTTTCTTTTTATTATCGTTCTGTCTCTAAGAACCTCAGCTTTGCGAGAAGTTTATGCACATGCAGTGCTTGGACAGCATCCCCATGTTGTCCGTTACTATTCTGCATGGGCAGAGGATGACCATATGATCATTCAGAATGAGTATTGCAATGGTGAGTACTGGGACTCTGATCTCTGGGGAGTGAAATGAAATCCAAGGTCTTCAGGAACTGTCCTCCATTGTGTAACCTCGTGTTATGGTAGCTGCCAGTGACTTACAGAAACAATTGTCTACTCTAAGCTTACAGGGACAGCATACCTACAGGATGGTCTCAATGGTACTCTTGCCCAGGGGTAGGGAAATGAAATAGGTGAACTTGCAAATCCATCTTCTGTTCCTTGACTTCAACTATGACCAAATCTGACATATGGCTATATCCATGCTATTTATTCCTCCTGTTTTTATGTAAAACATCTGATCCAAGTTCCATAGTTGCTTCTCTGTAAACTATAAATTTGTTATTGTTAAACAACTTTTTAGATGTTTATAAAATTCACATAAAATTATGTCAGGGTAGATATGGGATAGATCAAATGTGTAGGGTATGGCAAATAATTCAACAAAATTCTATTAAACATCTACCATGTTCTGGAAATACAAAGATGAAAAATGAGTGTTGGCTCATTACATTCAGGTTGTGCATTGTAAAGCCATGTTCAGTGTATTGGCTCTACTGATATGGAACCTTTGAGTTATGTAAGCAAGGATTCTTAACTTGGAGACCATAAACTTTTTTTTTTTAATACTCTGATGACTGTATTTCAACATACTTGATTTTCTTCATAATCCTATGTATTTTTTATTTAAAAATGTTATTTGACTTCAGGTGTTCCTGACTCCAGGTCCCATGCTCTATCTACTGAGCCACCAAGCTGACTGTAATTTGGACAGCTCAGGGTACCCCAAGCAGCCAATAGGTGGGCAGCCCTTTGGTGTCTCATATTAGGAGAGTATTTCCAACATTAAAACAGCTAGCCACTTGAATACTTGAGAGCTTGGGCTTCTTTTCAAAAGTTTACTAGGTAAATGAAAACTAAAAATTGGAGCCTTTTTTTTTTTTTTTGGTGGTCCAGACCTGTTCATTAGCATAGCATGTGCTTAAAAATTTCTTCTAAGAAGGAATCCATTGGCTTCACCAAAGGGATCTATGACATAAAAAAGATTAAGAACCCCCCTGCTCTAAGGCAACTTTAAAGGCCTCTAATTGTGGGATCAACTCAGAAGATCTGTTTACATCTGTATCTGCCATATAGGTCTACAGAAGGTTAAACTTAGAGGACTAGAGGATCCCTGTGGGATATGGATTGGTTTGAAATTCCCAGGATCCTTAGGATGACATTGTATTAAATGGACCTACCTCTGCTTAAAATAGATTTCTCTCAAAAGGTCATGGATCCCAGTGGTGATGGCCATCAAATCCTTGCCCCCTACCTCCATCCCTCTGTCCTGGCTCACCTCCTACACACCCCTCCCTTCCAAAAAAAAAAAAAAAAAGAGAAAAAGCTGGGTACTTCCATAGAATACTTGCAATTCTAGTAACAATACCAGCTCAGCTATAAAGCTAGATCCCAATTAGTATGAATATGTGATTTCTCCTAAAGTGGATGCATTATTCAAATTCATACTTTGTTTATAAATTGGGCTGGAACCAATAAGCATATTTTACATAATTATAACTTCAAAGACTTCCAGTTCAAATACTTTGAACTACGTTAGGAGATTCATTATTCACACTAATTGTGACATAGCTTTAGCGGCTTGGGTTTTGAGTACAGTAAATTCTCTTTAGGTCTCACTTGTCAAGAATAGTGAGTCATCTCACAATTCACATTGTTTTTTTCTGTTGAAGTGTAATTCTTTATCTACTTGTGAATAAACTAATCTATGCTTTGTTTACTAAGCCTATAGTATGATTTAAGGAAATATTACGACCTAGGTACCTTCTAACTAATCTAGGATTCTAGGAATTAGAATTGGAAAGATCTTGGGTGATCTAGCATTCTCATCTCCACCTCCTTTTACTAGTTCCTTAGATGGGAAAAACTGAGTACCAGACAAATGAAATGACTTGCCTAAGGTTTCACAGGATCCAGAATTTGAAACCAGATTCTCTGTGTTCTTATCCAGTGCTCTCCCCAGAGTACCATGTTCTGTATGTTTATTCTAACACTGGTTAGAGAAGCATTCATGGCATAATGAGGTAGATGGCCGGTTTTGGAGTTGGGAAAACCAGGGTTCAAATTCTCCCTGTTACACATACTCACTGGCTGAAGTGCCCCAGGGAACTTTAAATTACAGATACTGCTCTGTATAGGGGATCAAAGGGAGTTTCCACCCAAGTTTTTGGAATGAATGTCTTATGCTAATGAACAGGTCTGGACCATTAAAAAGGCTCCAATTTTTAGTTTTCATTTACCTGGTAAACTTTTGAAAAGAAGCCCAAGTTCTCAAGTATTCAAGTGGCTAGCTGTTTTGGTGTTGGAAATGCTCTCCTAATATGGGAGACCAAAGGGCTGCCCACCTACTGGCTGCTTGGGATACCCTGAGCTGTCCAAATTACAGTCAGCTTGGTGATCCAGTGAGCATGGGGCCTGGAGTAGGGAACACCTGAAGTCAAATCCTACTTCAGACATTTGCTAGCCATGTGTCCTTGGGCAAGTGCCTTAGCCTCTTTATGTGTCAGTTTTCTCATCTGTAAAATGGGGATCATAATAGCACCTACCTCCCAAAGTTGATTGTGAGGATAAAATAAGATAATACATGTAAAGAACTAGAAAACTTTAAAGTGCTATCATCCTCCTCTTCCTCCTCTTCCTCACTTGGGAGGGTGTGGGGGGGTGGAGAATAGAGAAAGAAAGAAGGGGAAAGAATCTTCTGACTTTTGAGAAGTTAAGAAATATAATTTCCCTCACCTCACTGCCTGCAACTTCAAGTATTAAATGACTTCTTCCACGTTCACTTTGGGGTGTTTCCTCTCCTCTCTGGGAATTTATGCTTTCCAGTTTATCTCCCAGAATCGCAATGAGATTTCAAAGAACATGAAATCCACATAGACTATTTCCTCCTCCTATACTATCTATGCCCTCACCTTCCATGTAGGATGTGATCACTTGGGTGACAAAACTTACTGAGGGGCTCCAGTTCTGTATATTTATTTATTCTTTTTCCAGCCATCCATCCCTCACTTTTTCCTTGCATTTATTCTTTCCTTTCTATTTTTTTAAAATTTTTTAGGCAATTGGGGTTAAGTGACTTGCCCAGGGTCATACAATATTCCTTCCTTTCTGATGAATAGGTCATCCATACTGAATTATTTCTTCCCAAGAAGGTCCTAGCAGCTTTTTTTTTTTTTTTTTTTGAAATAAACTGCGATAGCTCTCTGGTCCTCAGAAGCAGCATGATGTATTTTCCCTTCCAAGTCATAGAAAATAGGCTTTTTAACAGAACTGTGACTGGTCATCTGCCTCAGTCCTACCTCCTAGAGTGGTCCCTAGGATTTCACCATAATTTCACAAGTGTATAGCACTTAGAATATTCTAAAGTACTCTGCTTGTACTTCCTTGGGAAGGTAGGCATTATAAACAGTAATAATTCCACTGCAGAATTGTTCATGGATCTTAGATAAAAGAGGGCAATAGCCCCAGTCATTTGTAAAGAACATGCAGTGGTGTAGCTTAGTGGGAACAGTGCAGAGTTATTCCAGAACCATGCAGGGTTTTACAAAGCCATTCCGTTGGCTTCTTTTTTTTTTTTTCCAAAGTCTTTGCTTTCGTCTCATGCCTCTCTCAGAAGATTTCCCTTTTACACAAAGGCACATGGGTTTGATCTTTAACAGATTGCCTTTTGTGCTTTACAACTCTCTCCATTTGACTTGAATGTGTTTTTCTCTGCTAGGTGGGAGCCTGCAGGCCGCTGTGTCTGAAAATGAGAAACTTGGCCATTTCTTCCAAGAGCCAGAACTCAAGAATATGCTCCTGCAGATCTCCATGGGGCTGAAGTATATCCATCACTCGGGTCTGGTACACCTGGACATCAAGCCCAGTCAGTGCATCTCTGCTTTCTTCCCCTTGCTACTACTGTAATGTCCTTCTAACATCATCTGTTATCACAATATGTGCATGTATTAAAACATATTTCTGTTCACTGGCATAGCATCAGACACAATTCTTCCTTCTCCTTTAGTGGGAGGGTAAAAAGGGAAAAAAAGTTAAAGTGGGGGACAAAGCCAAAACTACATACTTTTTTCACTTGAGACGAGAAAAGAAGGTCCTGCTACAATTGTTAGTGAAAGTCTGCACAATGAGTAGGTTTGTATGCCTGTTTTTATGTTTACTACTATTCCTATACCTTTCTGAATCAAGAAGTAGCTAGGATGAAATGCAATAGTGTGCTTTTAAGAGCAGGAATTTAACTGAGCAGTCAAGTGTTAATAACTGGAGTATTAGGAGTTGGCTCTACTATATGTTTTCTTTTTAGGACTGCAGGTGGGGAAAGAATGGCATTATGATTTGCAAGTGGCTTAATTTCTTTGAGGCTTATTTTATTTGTATGTAAAATAGCCATTTGTATGGGAATGAGAATAATGGCACCTATTGAGCCCAAGCTTGAAGGGTTGTTGGGGTCAAATGAGATGATAAATACAAAATATTTTATGAACTTAAAGGATTATGATAAACCAGCAGGTTTTTTTTTTTTAAGAAGAATGGTAGTATGTGTTTTATATTAATCAAGATAATTGCCATTTTGTGGGGGAGGTATTAATCAGCATACATTAACTGAACAAATGAATAAAGCATTTATTAAGTGTTTACTATATACAAAGCTAGCTGTGTGACCATAGTTAATACCTTAACCTCTCAGTGCCCCCCACAGAATAGGGGACAGGTAGGCTGGTACAGTGGATAAAGCACAAGGCTTAGAGTCGGGAAGATCTGAGTTCAGTTCTGACCTGTGTGACCCTGGGCAAGTCATTTAACACCTATTTGCCTCTTTTCCTTATCTATAAAACGAGGCATACTGGAGAAGGAAATGGTGAATCACTTCAGTGTCTGCCAAGAAAATGCCACGGACCAAGGCAATTAAGTCATGTAGAGTCCTATATGACTGCACAACAACAAATATGCAAAGCACTATGTTGAATGCAGGTGGAGACACACATAAAAAAGCTCTCAAGTAGCCATAATTACCATCCTTATGAATGTTCATTTATTCTTGTTAGGTAGTTTTAGCAATTGGAAAAGATGGGCTGATGAAGGCAGAGGGAGTCCTCCTCCATAAGGAGCAGATGCCAGATTTTGTTCATAGCCCATAACCATATTGAATCTAATTGAATTGCATCTTGTTAAAGACAGGAGGAAATTTCAACGAAGAGACAACAGCCATAGTTGTAAGAACAAAAAAGAAGGGAATTTGAGGAGGGAAAAGAGTCCTGAAAGATCTAGTTATAGGCTAGAAGAACTTCAGGAGCCTTTATTCAAAATAAAATATTTTCCAAATTTTTTTCTCCTCTGGGAAGAAGAGACATTAACTCTTTAAATCCAACTCTGTACAGGTAACATCTTCATCTGTAAAAAACAAGAAGATGATGTCCTGTATGTCTCAGAAGAAGGGGAGAATGAAGATGACTGGTTCCTATCTGCTAATATGATATATAAAATTGGTGAGGCTGCCTTCTCTCCATAACATTTGATTATGGTCTAATGAAATCTGAACTGATAATTCCTTTCCTGTTGTAGCCCTTCTAGGAGAGGTCTCCTCTAAAGTGATTCTTTCTTTCTCTTAGGTGATCTGGGCCTTGTAACTTCAATCCAGAACCCCCAAGTAGAGGAGGGAGATAGTCGCTTCTTGGCCAATGAGATTTTACAAGAGGTACAGCTGTAAATCAGGGAGGTAGTTGGGGATGTATGTACTGACAGATGCTGAACCTGCTTGACATTCAGATATGTAGGAAATGTAAAACTATCCCTATGATAATATAGAATCTCTTTTCCAGTCCAGATGTAGGAGAGAGACCACAAATAAATATTCTCCTAGATTGGTGGCTCTCAAAGTGTGGTCTGGGGACCCCTGGGGGTACCTGAGACTTTTTCAAGTAGTCTGAGAGGTCAAAACTATTTTCGTAATAAGACATTTTAATTTCTAGCATGGTAAATATCGGTAGATGTAACCCATATGAACAAAAGCTTTAAGGGGTCTCAATTTTTAAGAATATAGAAAGGTTTCCCAAGACCAGACAGTTTGAGAACCACTACCTTAGAGGAATCTCTTATTTATTGTGGATCAGTACACGTTAAGTATTTATTATTAAGTACCTGTTATTGCTAGGTGATATAAAGACAAAAGATTTTTTTTTTAAAAAATAGTCCTATCCCTGAAGAGCTTTACATGCTTGTAAAGGAGGTTTCATGTTGCTCTGAGATAAAATATCAATAGGTCAGATAAATTCAAATCTTATTTTCTTGTCAAGCTCCTGTTTATAAAAACCTTCATTTCATCCCTCTCCCTACCCCTCAATACTTCTGGTAGTATTGATTGTTCCTTGTAACTGCAATGGCCTTGGGAATCTGTCTTTGAAGATATCTGTCATAAAATATAGAATAACATGGCATTCCTCCATGGCTTTGATAATGGGGGAAAGGAAAGAATCCCCTTTCCTGTGTATCTGTGTGTATTATCTTTTTTTTTTTTTTCAAATGTTCTTCTCCCTGAGCATATCATGATTCTGTCAGGTTCCTCAAAATTCACAAATGCCCCTGAGCAGAGTATAAAAATTTTTTTTAATCTTTTTTTCCTTCCCTCCAGGAACAAAGAAACTAACTTAAACATATTTATACTCATGTGTATTTGAGAGAATAACTAAGGTTTCTCCTATTTGCCCAGTCTCATTACCATAGTAAACTCCTTACTTTTTTTTTTTTTTTTTTTTGGAAGGACTATCGCTACCTGCCCAAAGCAGACGTGTTTGCCCTTGGATTGACAATTGCTGTGGCTGCAGGGGCAAAGTCGTTACCAGGCAATGATGAGCCTTGGCATCATATCCGTCGAGGCAACCTTCCAGCTCTCCCACAGAAGCTCTCTGAAGACTTTTACACCTTACTTAAGGTGGTATCTCTTATAACATTAGGTTGGCATTTGGGAGGTGGGGAGAAGTTGGGTGAGAAGAATAGAGCATATTGGTGGAGTTAGAGTGGAAGGAAGGGGAAAGAATTAAGAGGATGATCTAAAGAGCAGAGCAAAAGGGGGAAGACATCAAGGCAGCATTAGGGTCATGAGGCTATACAGATTTGAACTTGGAGTGTAAGAGGGAATGGTTAAAAGCTGCTGTCTTACTGTCTGGACCTTTTATAATTTTTTATAACACTATAAAAAGGTCACCTGTTTTTTGTGCTTTTGGGGGAAAAAAAGGCACTTTCAGTTCAAGTATTTATGCGCTACTTACACTTAGTATTATGCTAAGGTTGGTGGTAGGGAGAGGAGGGAGAAGGAAAAAATCACCACAGCCCCTGTCTTCAAGGAGCTTTTCTCTCCCCTCCTCCTTTAAAAATAAATTTTGTTTTTACTTCTTCTGCTTCCTTCTATTCCCTCTTCCTCTCTGTTTCAGTAGAGTCATCCTAGGTAGGGAGATCTCTCCAGCATTTCCAGATAGGGAGAAAACTGTGACCAAAGGCAAAGATGCATAGGAACGATTTGAGCCAATTTGGCCACCACTAATTGAAGTAGCTGGTCCCCTTGATCAGTGTCCCTCAACAACCATTTATTATGTGCCAGGTACTGAGGATTCAAATTTGAAAATGAGACAGCTCCTGCATTTTAGGAGCTTAAATCCTAGTAGGAGAATACAGTACATGTAGGGAAGTGGCAGGAAAAGATAAAACTAGGAGCACTGGGGCTATGTGGTTAGAGACCTCAAATGCCAAGATACATCTAACCTTTAACCTGGTGGTAATCAAGTACATTGAATGATGGGGTGGAAGCTGTGGATTTCTCATATTGCCTTTTTGTGAATAATAAAATGGGGATAATAATAGTACCTACCTCACAGGATTGTTATAAGGATCAAATAGAATGCATACGTGTGTGTGTGTGTGTACGTACGTATGTATATGTATGCACACAGTAAGTTGAAAATCTTAGATTACTTTATAAATGTTGGCTATTTTAATTAGCTATTTTCTCTTTTTAACAGGATTTATTCATATTTTTTTGTTTGATTTAAAAGAAGAGCATAGGAACATAGACTTTTAGAACTGAAAGGGACCTTATGTGGAAGCTTTGTACAGAATGGATTAAGAAGGGAGAAGCCAGAGACAAATGTAGCAGTGAAGCTATAGTTATAATTCAGACATGAAGTAGTTAAGAAATGGGACAAGTGGTTGCTATAAAGATGAAAAGAAAGTTGATGGATGTTAGAGATGTTTCCAAGACAAATGACAAGATTTAACTGGATGTGAAGGGTAAAGGAAAGCATTAAATGTTCCCTAGTCCTTAGAGTAGAGAGACAGTAGTGTCTTCATCAAAAATAGAGATGTCTAAAAAAGAAGTATTTTTATGCAGGATGAAAAAAGGATTCAATTTATGCCTGTTAAGATTGTGGTGATTGGGGGCAGCTAGGTGGTACAGTGGATAGAGCTCCAGCCTTAGAGTCAGGATGACCTGAGTTCAAATATGGCCTCAGACACATGACACTTACTAGCTGTGTGACCCTGGGCAAGTCACTTAACCCCAATTGCCTCACCAAAAAAGACAAAAAAAAAAAGATTGTGGTGATTGGACATCTAATTGAAAATGTCTAATGAGTGGTACACATGAGACTTAAGCTCAGGTGGAAAAGTTAAAACAGGTATATGGACTTTGGAGTCATCTACACAGAGGCAAGACTGACTGGAAGCTATGAGGTGAGGCAAGCTTAGACAGATACAGACGCAGATGACTGATCCTTTAGAAATGATCCCAGTTAGGAGCAAGAGGAAGAATTTCTAGAAAGGGGATAACAAGGAAGACCAGTCAGATAATAAGAGGAACTCAGTGTCGAGAGAAGGGAGTATCATAAAGAAGACCAAGTGGTCAATAGTATCAAGAGGCACAAAGGCAGAGGTGTACTGGAGCCAGCTTGAACAGATTCAAGAGAGTCAACTGTTAAATTTTCAATGTGATCATTTATACCTTGGAAACTGGCAAATTCTACAAATTGGGGCTTGATTTATTTTTCTGTTGATTATCTAGACTTAAAGAGATGGAGAAAATATTAATGCAGATTAAAGTAAATGTGTTTTATGTACTTTTTTCCCCTAAGAGAGCTGGTTGTTAAATATTTACTAGCACACTATTGCATAAGGTGGGTCAAGAACTTTTAAAATCTTCAAAAAGGACCACAGTTAAGGTACTAATTCTTTACTTCCTTTCACAGTTTATGATCCATCCTAAACCAGAGGAGAGACCTACAGCAGCAGCTTTGGCTAGGAACACAGTCCTCAGACCCTCTTTGGGTATAACTGCAAAGCTTCAGAAAGAGCTGGACAGAGAAAAGTCCAAGACAGCTGAGTTGGAGAGGTGGGTCCTGAATATTGGAGGTAATAAATAATCTAGTCTAGGGGCACTCATGTTATAGTATGGAGTCATGTTGCCATTAACCAAAAGAGCTCAATGATTTCGCTTTGTCCTATGGAATCGCACACTACAACAATCTAAGAAGAAACCAGTCTTGAAGAACTTCCAGTCTTGCCTGAAACACAGTCTTGGCTTTTGAGTACACTTATGCTTTAGTCATAATATGGGGGAAATGGATGGCTGCCTGCTACCACATTGGTGCTTTTTGATTTTTGGTTTTGGTTTTGTTTTCCCTTTTTGGTCAGTTATATCTGACTGGCAAAACTATCATAAATGAGTTCTTGTTTGCCACATGGGTAGTCCTGATCATAACAGACTGTCTATGAAAACAATAAAGTTGAGGGGTGGCGTTAATAGTTTCCTCTCATTCTGTTTTGGTGCCAGTTTCTGATTGGTAAAATTGTCCCTGCTACAACTGATAATAATTGGCTGGATCAAATGAAATAAACTTTTTTTTTTCCCTTAGGGAACTGAAAGAAGTTCATCTTGCCCAGAGCCACCAAGAAGAAACCAGTGAACGCTCTCTTGGATCACTTGGGTTCTTTGCCAAAACTGGGTCAAGTAGCTCCAGTAGATTGGTGGGAGGGAAAACCAAAAGGTCACATAGTTTCACCTTTGGGAAATCTGAGTAAGCATAGTCCTGTTCCCTTCCACACAACCTCTGGAAGAGCACCATTTCATGCTAACCAGCCCCATTTTGAAGGTATGGCTCTAGAAACATTTGGTGGCTCCTCCAACCTGGACCTTGACACCAGTTACTGCTGCTATAAAATGGAAAAGTGGCCAATAGGAATGACTGCAATTTCCCGCTGAAAGTTCTTTCTGGACTTTGTATCCTAGGTATAGCTCTCCCCCTAAAGGTATACTGGCTTTTCAATTGGATACAGATTTGAAAAAATAATACTAGTTGGTAGGCATTTCTCTCTGCCTACCCTCACACCTCTAGATGCCACCACTCAGTGCATTTGAGCACAGATACAAAAGAGTTTTTGGATTCTAAGAGATTGATGAAATAGTAAGATATTGAAATGACTTTCCAGGCTAAGAGGTGATTGTTGTAGCACTTCCAAAAGGATCCTCAGAAGATATTATTTTGCATAAAGAGAGATGGGATCTTTGCCTCAACTTTGGAAATAAGGCTGATAGACTTGAGTAATGCCTGCTCCCAACAGAATTCCTAACAGGTTTGGAACTAGTGGTTCTTCTAATATATTTTCTGGAGGGAGAGAACATTCTCTGTTCTTCCTATAGTTACATGAATAGTCTAGCTGTTGAAATGGGAAGTTATATTTGCAAATAGGAATACTTTTGAGGTTGCCAACAAGCTGTGACGAAACATTGGAAGAGAAATCTGATTTTGCTGTCTTCTCACTATCTTACCCTTTTCCTTCTGGTGGCTGTTTGTCTGGCTTTAATTTGCCACCCAGGAATCACTAGTTTCTTTTGATTTTAAAACTTGAATTTGGCTTTGTTTCTAGTGATTTTTAAAGAGATTAATTTTATTCAAGTGTTTTCCCCTTTCCATCTTTTTTAAATGAACAGAACATGTGTAAATAAAGGTTTTATTTTTCCAAAGCCAAACATGAAAAAATTCTCTTCTTTTGGATAGGACAGTCAGTAACTTGAAAAAGCATTGACAAAAGCACTTTTTATTCATTTGGATGAGAGTTCAAGAAGCTGATAATGAGAAGTCTTTATAACATTTTTACATTCTAACAAGTAGACAACTAGGCCATTCTATGTACTATTGTCTACATGAACGTTTGACAAAATCTATTTGGAAATATCTCCAGGTCTAATGAAGACAGCTGTTAATTGTTTAAATGTTATATTCTATTTGAATATATCCATCCTTTTTTCTTATTTCGGTTGTTCAGTCTTATTTTTGTTGTCAGTTGGATCTGACTGTGTGACCCTGTAGACTTTGTCCTTGGGATTTTCTTGGCAAAGATACTGGAATGGTTTGCTATTTCCTTCTCCAGTGTGTCATTTTACAGAGCAGAAAACTGAGGCAAATAGGCATTAAGTGACTTGCCCAGGGTCACACAGCTATTAAGTGTCTGAGGCAGTATTTGAACTTAGATCTTCCTGACTGTAGGCTTGCTACTCTGTCTGCTGTATCATCTCACTGCCCCTCCTTTTTCTTAATTTCAATCTCATTCCCATTTTCAGGAGCAAATTGAGAAAAAAAGGCCTGAAGTAGTTTCCCCCAGTTTTCCCCTCTGCTATAAAATAACTAGATGAGGAAATGAGGCATGGTGCCCCCTTCTATTGTTCCAGAAGAACTGGGATTCCTTTTTCTTTTTTTAATTAACTGCCATTTAAGAGTTAAAAAAAGGTACTTTCTGGATATTTTTTGGTTCTCACTTTCCTCCCACCATTCTTTAGCATGTCCTACTTTCCCTCAACCACCCTAACCATTTTCCTTTTGTTCATGTCCAAATAATTTAGGCCATATCCTTGCTGTGTAAGAATTAAGGATAAAAGTAGGGATAATGTCATATACTGTGTACAAGAGGCCCTGGTTATATTTTTGTTTTATTGTTCTTAGTTATAGGTATGGGAATAAACAAAGGATCTGTTATCCCCTTGCTATGGGGGAATTGTTATCCATTTCAACTATTTGTGACTTGGTAGACAAGTTCTTGGAAATTGTCTGAATTGCACAAACTTAAGCAATTTGCCCAAAGATCAGTAGCCACTAAGTGCTGGAGACACAATTTGAAACCAAGTCTTCCTTAAACTTAGCCTAGGGCTTCACTATATCACACTATCTTTTTCATTGGCGAGTAATAATACATGAGTATCTGTATTCCCAACTATAAGCTGGGTACACTGAGGAACTCGGTCATCCTGCCCTATGATGACGGGCTTCATCCATTCAACAAACATTTGTGGGGCCCCGGCTATGTCCTTGCTGGGGATATCAGGAACTGAGGATGTTTTAAAAGTGTTTAAAAGAACATCAGGAGGGACATGATAGCTGTCTTCACATATTGAAGGGCCATAGTGTGAAAGAATTAGATTTGCTTTCTTTTGCCCCAGAGCCAAACAGCAGTGGGTGGAAGTTTGCAAGGAGGTGATTTTTGGCTTGATGTCAAGGAAAAATTTCTTTAATTTGAGCTGTCCAAAAGAGAAGTGACCTGCTAAGAGAACTATGGTGTCTTCTCTGTTCTTGGAAGTCTTCAAGCAGAGGCTGAATGGTGACTTGTCGAGTATGTTATAGTGGGGATTTCTTTCATGCGTGGGATGGACTGCTGAAGTCCTTTCCAGCACTCTAATTTTGTGATAGAAAGACAATGAAGTAATCCCAACTCTCAAAACTTTTAAATTGCTTTAATGAGTGCAGAAATTAGTGATGCACAAATAAGTAAATGTTATATGTATGTATGGTAATTTGCTGCAATATCCCCAGCTCTCCAACTGTCACTGTTCCTCCTTTTCTCTGCCCTGTGAGGAACAACAGGAACTTTGGGACTAGAAGACTGAGAGGAAATGATGCTGTCCAGCAGCTTTAGAGAGTAATGAGAAGTTCAAAAAGAAAGAGAAGCAGGGGCAGGTTGGGTCGAAGTTCCTTGCCAGACTTGGTTAATTCTACTCCCTTTTCTGTTATGGATGACCTGTGACCAGATGAGGTAAAAAACCAGCCCAGCTTAAAAGTACTGATTTTCTTGGGATCTACTGGATTTCATATACCAGCTTACATGGTTCCAATGAGCAGAGAATTTCAGAGCTCCTAATGACCAGTCTTATAGGAAATGTGAGTCAAACATACTATGTGGTTGTTACTCAGTCATTTCAGTTGTGTCTGATTCTTCATGACTCCATTTGGGGTTCTCTTGGCCAAGATACTGGAGTGGTTTGCCTTTTCCTTCTCCAGCTCATTTTACAGATGAGGAAACTGAGGCAAACAGGGTTAAATGACATGTCTAGGGTCACATACCTATTAAGTATCTGAGGACAGATTTGAACATGGGAAGAAGAATCTTTCTGACTCGAGGCTCAGCACTCTTATCTACTTCCCCCTTCCTGCCCAAGGGGGAATTCCAATTGTGCATAGTCTGTAACTCCTGGTTTCAGAGTTCTTGGCGATTCTTTGTTCTTGAAGAAGACCAATGATATCAGGAGGGTGTGATCCTACATTAGAGGATGGTGAGGGAATTTTGAGGGTTTAGGAGAGCAGTGAATTTACAGCTCCTTGGTAGATAATTTGTCTTCTGCACTGTGCCTCAGGTTATTAAGTACTATAATACTTATTGATTCCACGTTAAGAGTAAAAATACAATATGTAGCATAACTGCTTCCCTAGGGAGCCAATTCCATTAGTCCAAAGTGAAATGACTAAAATACTCATTAAAATACAGCACTAAATATGTAGTGGGTGGTGGGCTCAGAGCTAATTTTGATTGGTAGATTCCTACACTTTTTCCATCAGTGTGCTTTGAAGCAGGAAGAAAATATTAAAGTTTCTGTCTTCATCTTGAATGAGAAATCAGCTTTACTAACGTTGACAATATAGGCTGACACTAGCCTTCCCACCTGCTCCAATTTGGTATGTATTTAGATAGTCACACTGTCTCATATACAAGGTATACAGAGTATCCTGAAGGAAGAGTGGGAGGTCCACAGGATTGGAGGATTAATGATTCCCTTACTTATTTGTTTATGGTGCATTGTGACTTGTGAGATATGTATCCAGTTAAGTACATTTATTGATCACATTATCAAGTTTAAACCTGACAAAATGGACAAATGATTTAAAGATTCATACAAAGAAATTACAGTAAAGTAAGTACAAGTAAGCAACAAGATGGCAGAGCTGACACCTTTTGTGTTCATAATATGAGCTCTTCATCCGACGCATTTATGAGGCTAAAAACAATGACTACTCAAACTTGACAGAAGTTGGCCAAAAAATCTTAATTATCATAGATGGATTATATTCACTATAAATGATGAACCTCTCTACAAATATGCTATACTTTTGAGATCAGTTGATAGCATGAAACCATCATAATTAGAAACATTTTAAAACCTGCTTATACTGCTCAAAATGATGTAAATGTGTTATTTACAGAATTACACATCTGTATAGATGAACTTGGAGACAGAATTTTCTAAACACATGTAAAAAAAATTTGCAAATGAAAAGTTGGTGAATTTTGAGCCCATTTGTTAAAACTTCGAAAATGCAATCCCTTCCAATTATTTTGCAAGAACTGATTGACATTAGTGAAGATGGAAATGTTTTTAATCAAATTTCAACAAAACTTTGTAACTAACTGATGGGACTGAAAAGTGAGTAGTGTGCTTAAGGAAGTATAACCAATTATACATTTCCTTTTGTAGCTTTGTGGGATTTCTTTGAGTTCTGAGAATCATTCAAACTAAGTATTAAAATAAACTGAACTTGAAACCAGACCCTCAAGTTACTGTCTCCAGGGAGTTGATTAAGTAAATGGCCCCACTCCATTTAAAATATTAAGACGCTGAGCCCTGATGCCTTTACCAGGTGAGAATACTTCTACTGAGTCAATCCTAGACTTTAGACTGTATGGAAAAACTGTTTGATCAACTGGAATTATGTTAAACAGGAAGTGGGTTCAAATTGATGGAGGAAATTTGGTCACAC